CCTACGTCGTGTTACGACCCAACACACGAGCACACTAGGAGTGGGAGGTGCATAATTCCTCCGAAACGTTTTCAGCCATCGTGAAGAGAGCTTTGGAGCAATTCATGTGTCCAGAGCTGTGAACTCGCGGAACTCAAGAAAGACTTGAAGAACTGTATACAGCCCATCTATGTTGCCTCTATTCTAAGAAAGGGTGATGTTGGATATAGCATGTCGGAGTTCACGCACGTAAGAAAAAAGACGTCGAGGTTGTTCACCCGCCGTGAGACTCTCGCGGGCTTGTGCATGGCTTGGCATGGCGGACCGGTTGGTGTTCTTTTTGTACATACGTTACTGACCTTAGTGTAAGATAAACCCTTTTGTTTTGCTAGTCCACAGCGACTATGTCTCTTTCATTCTGCGCCATGCAGAACAAAACAATATTGTCCGATTTTCCTCACTTTTGTGTCAGGATAAAGTTGTTACTATTTTGCCTTCCCCACATAGTAGTCCTTTGAGCGAATTATGTGATGTTATATCATAGAGTGGGCTTAGGGTAATTTTCTCTTCTTTTTTTACGCAGGATGTAATGGCATACCATCATCACAAAGGAGAGCGTACAGTGAGGCAGACTCGGACACTTGAATAAAGCGATAAGTAGGATTTCAATTTCTGTCTTATCAATTACGTGAAGAACACTGATCATAATGTTTGTATGCTACACACACATGCTTTCAGTTGAACAATGCAATGCACTTCTTCTTCATGGCTTTTCTCACACAGTTCCAGAAGACGCTGGTACGTAATTTTCACGAGGAACGCTTGGAAATAGAGCTGCCAAAGATTTCCTCGTAATTTTCACGTACGTAGCCGCAAATCAAAATGACGACTCTCCTAGTCAATGTTGGAAAACGGCAATACATTATTTTCACGAGAGAAGATTTGGAAATAATTGAATTGCCATTTTCATGTCTGTGCTCGCAACTTAAAAATGCGGTGCCTCTTTTTTTTTTTTTACAACTTTTCTCACGCATAACATGATTCTACGTTATTTTGACGAGAAATATTTGGAAATAGAGCTGCCAAGGACTTTCCTCGTATATTTCCTCACTCATTTTTAAGAGTGCATTTCTCAATGATGGCGCCTCTGCATTATCATGATCAATTAAGTTGTCAACGGTGTTTCTTATCATTTCACGAGAATGGAGCTATATGTCATAAAATTTCACAAGTTGGAATCCAGCCGTTCATAAAAACACCTTTGAACAGTCAGCTTTTTAAATGCAGGCGCCGATTTTTCTGGGCAATTTGAGACCGTTCTTCCCATTCAGGACGCCCGACATACACGGCGTCCCAAATAACTTGCACTATACTAAAAAAAAAAAAAAGCGTCTTGAGAAAGTGCACAGATTTTTTTTAATGAGCTTGGTTATCTAAATAACTAGACTTAATTAGCTAACCTTTCAAATGTTCTTTTACGGGCCAAAATGTCAATTGTAAAGTTGCAGGGCGCATTGAGAAACACATAATTAAAGTGTTTTCAACTTAATACGTTTTCTTGCTTTTTTTCGTCCTTCAAAGAACGCCCATTCGCGGCGCACCCGCGCGCCGTGATTGGGGAAGCGAGGTGTCACGCGGTATTTTTTGTATTCCGCGGGTGTTTTTTGAAGGCTAGGAAAAAGAAGCATGCAAAGTGCACCTTATTGAAAATAGTTTAATTAAGTATTTTTTAATGCGCTCTATAACTTTCCATTTCACGCATCGGCTTTTAAACAAAGATTTCAAAAGTTAGCTTGTTACTCTTAATTAAATAAATGGGCGCACTACAACAATTTTTTATACTTTTGCAAGAGACTTGCTAACATCGGACAGTTGGTTTCACCCCCCAGAATTAACAATCTGTTTTTTTTTTTGTTTTCTTTTTTTTTTTTAAAGTTTGGTGCAAGTTATCTGGGACACCCCGTAAATATGTACTGGTACTGTACGTTTAGTACACTGAAAGCATACATGTAGTGTACTTAATGTGGACTTATATTATGCTGGATGTACACTCGAGGAGCACTTATAATATACTACATATGTACTCGGGGTGTACTAAAGGTAAACTATTTTGATTCATAAAAGTAAAACTAGTACGATTTCAGTGCATACCCTAACTTCACTATTAGTATACCTTCAGTATACTGATATTAACGACTTTTCACCGAAGGGATGTAGCTAGCGAAAAGGCTGTTAGAATTTTTTTTAGTTTTTTTACTCGATTTGGTTTTTGGAAACAAGCAAAAATAAGCCCAGGCGTTGTTCGACGATCTTGTTTCCCACATGAGCAGTAAAAAATGCATATTTTTATAAAATAAATTACCACTACCGCCAATCGATAACATGTGTTCTAGCGACGAACCTGGAGGCCGTATGGGTACCCTGTGTCCGCTAGGAGCCGCTACCGTTCGCCCAGCAAAGAAGGCCGCGCGCGGCCACTTCTGAGTTAAGGCTGGTTTACACATACAACGGAACGCTCAGTTAGCGCCTCAGGAGAGCTGGAAACGGCGATTTGGCGGCACCGACTTGTGCGTTACGTAGTGCTCGTTTAGCGCTTCAGAAGCGCTTCAGCAAGCTCTCGGTTAGCGCTTCAGCAGGGAAGTGTAAAGCGCGATCCAAACCAACGCGTCTTTTTGCGGCTGTAGGTCGTGCACGCCCTGGATGTGACGTATTTCGTGACGTTTTTGCTGTTTCCGGCGCGCTTTCTGAGTCAGAACCGCGCGGTTCGGTTTGGACGGTGCAAGCTTCGGGCGAGCGTGCACGCGCGCACGCAGGCACAAGCGCCCCTGGCGGTGAAATGACGACCAATCGAAATGCAGCTTTGGTTCCGAGCGAGTGTCCAATGAAAATTAATCTGAGGAATCGTTGCGTTGGTTGCGCCGTCGGCGCCGTCCCCGTCTTCATTCCTTTGCTTTCGTGATGGCGTTTCGTGAGGATCCCACGTACTACAAAGCTGTGATTGCTGAGCTAATGAACCTTTGTGTGGTAAGGTAGTACGTCAGCAATGCAAGAACCGTCAGCATGACTCGGCTGACTGCTTTTGCTGCTGCATGTGAGCAGTACTTGAGTATCAGCAAGAAGCAGCGAAGGGCAATCTGCACGCTGTTGAGGTCTAGAAAGACGATCGGCGAGTACGCCACCACTGTGCGACAGATGTACCAGGACCCCGACGGCCGGGACTTCTTCGAGTCCTTCCGTATGTCAAGAGCCAGGTAAGTTATTCTAGCTTTTATTTGGTATGCTCAGTATATTTTGCATCATATGTACCATCGCATAAATATTAACGTAAAGCGTGCACCATCTCAGTGAATTAAGGACCTGTACATTCGCGAGACGGCAAATTCACAAGGTTTATACGTCTAAACGCCTGGCTGAATACATGAAGGTACTTTGCCTCCCCCTGTCCCCGCTCTCGCGACCGCGTGCGAGACAAAAACAAGCATTGTCTTTGCCTTTAGCGGTGTGTACTACCAGGTACTATCACGTGGGTTTAAAGGCTGCTTGCACGTGAACACCGCAGGTATACTCGCTTTTCACTGCATAACACCAGCTGGCCGAGACACTGTGCTTCTTGGTTTGACTCGTTGCTGAAAGCGTTGATGGTGTTCTTCGCTCACAGCTGTCTTGAGCCACATGGCATGCTTGCTTTTCTAACCGCAAGTCTTGGTTGTGGTTCTGAGGGTGCTTCCAGGTAAGTCAGGTATGATGTTTGTTTTGCACGCGTGTAAAGAGATTGCGAGCTTCCCTGTGAAGTGTCGGCTTGACAGTTTCAGATCAGTCTTTTTTCCTTGTGTTCATTCCTTATCTCGCCGAGGCACTCTGCTATTCGGAGATTCGTGTGCTGCAGCGCGACAGGGATCTTACTCGACCACAGCTGTATCGGGCCTGAGGTTTGCTTTAAAGTGCATGCGCTCATGTTCCCTGACAATGTCTAGGCACTTCAGTTGCAGCCGTTTCTTGGTAGCAGCATGGGTTAGTCAGCTTGGGTTACTCTTGCGAGTAACTGAGTAAGAGAGCTGAGCACTTCGTCGACTGCTCAGTTCCGTATTGTGTGTATAATGCTTTCGTCTCTTTGTTTCTTTTTATGTGTATTTTGCAGGTACGGGCCTGGGGCTCTCGGCATAGCCTGACTGCTAGAGAATGCGTCTGCCGATTGGTGGATGGGAGTTGTTTATGACAATGGCGATCCATCTTTATCGAGCATCATTGGTGTACACACAGTGGCCAAGAATTTGCTGCCTTGACTAAAAGTTAGCAGTGCGAGAAATGTTTGTCGCACATCAGATCAACCGGAACTCCATTTTGGTAGACTTGACGCTTGCACCCGCAAACCAACAGGCATGCCGGTTCTGCTAAAAGTCTTGCCGCGACGTCATTGTGCTCCCCAACCCCCCCCCCCCCCCCCCCCCTCCATTCTCCAAGACCAGCATGGAATAAAGACATTTCCGTACAGTCTCTTTCTGGTTTGTTTACCTTGCCTTCGCGTTTGGGTGCATGTAATGATGGAAGTTCCAGCATTTCTCGGAGGCTAGAAAGGCTGTAGGGTGCACACAAACTTGTCCTAGGGCAGTTGACATGAAGTTCTATTTGGTATAAAATAGCTTGATGCGTGATTAAGATTACCGAAGTGTGTTGCTATGTTTAAATTGTAGGCACATTTTATATTTCAATGACATTGAGTTGAAACATTGCGCTTTCAACGTAATAAATGGTAAAAAGTTTGTACCTCTCTAACTCTTGTGTTTCTTGTGTCTTAACTTAAAGGCTCCTAAAAAGTCTGTAGCTTCCCCACATAAGTTGTTATAATTTCTGTGGTTCCACCACTATGCAGATTTTTCTGCAAAGGTAGTGCACAGTAAAAGTGATGTTACATAGATCTTGGCATATTTCAGGTGATTTGGACACTTTTCTTTAATGGTTTCAACTATAGTTTCCCAGGTATGGGAGGCAGCTTCCATGAGAGGGCATCTCAAAAACGGATATGGTTGGCCTTTAAAAAGGCTGTTGGAGAAGGTTTTGCCAGTGCTGTCAGAGTAGTTGACTATGAATGATAAGTAACATTACCATCATAGAGGACGTGCGACACAAGGCTTGCAGAACAATGTACAGCAACGGGGCTGCCATGTACTGTCCAGCAGTCTTTGTGTATCAAATCCTCTAAGCTAATATTGTTCCAATCCTTCCCTAGTCACTCTATCGGGCAGGTCCGGCACCGAAAAAATAGGGTTGTTGGCGGGCAGTCGATGGCTTGTTGGCTGCAGGAAGAGAAGAGAGGGTGGGGGATGTCACTCAAAAAGAAATGTGTTCCTTTACAATGCCTGAGTCCCACTATAGCGACAGGCAGATACAAAAGACAGCGACAAGCCTCAAACCAGAGTCTTTCGCGATTTGACAGGCTTTGTATAATAAAGGAGGCTATGCTCAAACACGAGTATCATGCACGCGAGGGTATCATCGGCAAGCTTGCAATCGCTCGTGCTTACTTCACGAGCACCGAACGACTAAACGCCTGCCAAAAGTGCCATCGCGAGCATGCTACGTGGGTTTGAGGTTTGTCGCTGTCCTTTGTTTCTGTCTGTCGCTCTAGTGGGACACGGGCGTAAGTAGGGTTTCATGTCTTCAGAGTTTAGTAGTTTTTGGAACATTCAGGTCTTGGCTTACTGAGCTTTTCAACTGTCCCAGAAATAGATCCAAGGTTTGTCCTCAGCAGAAATTAGCAATATAATTCCCCTTTTCTTTAACTGGTCGATATTTTAAAAGGGAAGCCAGAGATCTTTTTTTGGGAAGTCAGAGTCTGTATTGAGTTGTCTGGCGGAAAAAAAATGCCACACAATGGTTTTATTTTTTGGCCATGTATAACTTTCCCTATCGGAATTTATTGAAGAAATACAATCTGACGGATCTTTACCGGCTAGTCATTTTTTTTTATTTTTTCGAGTTTGTCTGAAAACACGGAATCCTTCTTTAACCAGTAGGTACAATTTGTCATTACTAATGTACTCAATGAATTCATGGTGCTGACTATGGTTTCAATACTTCATCAAATTTTTTCTTTAGACAAGCATACAAAAGAGACCACAGGTGGCCCAGCATGGTGTTCACCAAGCAAACAATCTAATCTCGAAGACTGCATAAACGTTATGGCTTTCTGGAATCCGAAATACACTATGTGCAATCATTAAGGCCAAAACCTTATTTGTTTCATCGTTCGGTTCTTGAGAAAAAACATGTCGACAATACGAAAGGTACCAAAACGTTTATGTGACATCTGCAAATATTGATATTCCTCCGAAAAAGACGTTTAGCCCACGTCCCTCGGCTGGCACCGAACCAGCAACCTTTCATTCCGTAGTTCAACGCAGTACCGCCACAAGGGGAGGGGTACCGCCACATCCGTAATTCACGTGTCTGTCTTTAATGCATCGGTGCTTGGGCTTTCGCCTTCAAGTCGCCTTGGGGATAACATAAGCACATAAGAGACACTGCGTTTTTTTTTTGTGAAGCTAAATGCAGTTTCGCACAGCTTACCATGGTTATTCGTGGCGGATAAAGTTCAGGAGGTTGTGGCCTCTTGTCCTACAGTGGCTACACGAGTGTGCAGTGGCTGCAAGAGCGAATCTATGGTAGCTCCAGGCAGTGCCTGACACAAATCCACTGTGCTCCGAGCTTCTTTCTGACCTGGAGCTTGATGAGCTTGCTCATCTTGTGCACCCCAAAGATACGGCAGACGTGATACCCATCTGCCGCGGAGTATTCCCGCTTTGGGCCCTTTTCTCGATTCAGGAAGACGGGCTGCATGAAACAAACATGAATAATTATCCCATTAGAAATAGCAAAGTTTACAAGGTGTAAATACCTTTTCAATCAAGCATGCATGATCCTATTTGAAACAGAACAAACATACAACAGGTGATCCCCCTTAAGAGGGATTTGCGAGCCGCACTTCGACCAGCAAAGAGCCGCATGCGGCTCGCGAGCCGTGGTTTGGCCACCCCTGGTATATACCATAGAATACCGTGCACCCACCCATACCACATTAAGCGTCCATACCCAAATTTGTGAGATCTCAGAAAATATGCACAGTGCATTGATATGTAGAATTGATGACCGGACAAGCGTCCATCCCCTATTTTTTATGATTATCTCAAAAGTTTGAGTGGGCGCTTGGCCGGCATTTTACGGTATGCGTCATTGCATACGCCATCAAGGTGATGCAGCTTGCAGCCTTTTCGTTCTTGCCCCCCAAAGAAGTATCAGATGCCTATGCGTCCTTGAAACCACTCTTCCCGTAAGAAGCTTCCGATCTGCTGCGATGGTGGGAGGACAACTACCAGTTTGAAAAATCATGCCGCCGTGTTGGCCGTGCCCTGATTAGGAGTCATCCGTGACACTGTTCCAGATTTCCTTTTTATCGTTCGCTGATATGTTATGCTATAAATCGAGACACAACGGTTCCTCGCGTTTCGGCATTTTTACTTTTTGTCTCTGCATTCCTATATGAGGCATACCCCAGTTGGGGTACGCCTGACGTAGAATAATTTCAGCATTGCGATAATTCGGAATTCGTGGCATTTGGAATGCTTCCTGTAAAAGGAGCTCACACTCTTGCATATACTTGCATCCCCTTTTTTGTGCGGAACTCAATCCTTATAAATAGGCCCATCCATGTGCCACAGGACACGACACTTCATAACGAGAATAATATCTATTTAGACTACAGGACACCATAAAAAGACAAGTGGACCCTACCCAATTCTACTGGATTTTGGATCAAATGCAAAACTTACATGCGGGTTGATGAAGACGACGTCAGTCATCTGCCGCATGTTTTTTTTTTTTTGCCTCCTCTCCGCTCGCCAGCAAGCGGTTCAGCAGTAGTCTGCGGCCCTTGGCTTCCCGGTTTACCCAGCACCTTGGCAGCAACTTGAACACCAAAATGCTGCAAAATACACACAAAAAGAAACAAAGAAAAGCAAGCATTAGACATACAATACTGAACTGAGCAGTCGGCAGAGTGATCAGTTCTCTTACTCGGTTACTCGGCAAGAGTAACCCAAGCTTACTAAACCCATGCTGCTACCAAGAAACGCCTGCAACTGAAGTGCCTAGACATTGTCAGGGAACATGAGCGCATGCATTTTAAGGCAAACACTCGGGCCCAATACAGCTGTGAACAATGAAGATCCATATCGCCCTGCAGCACACGAATCTCTGAAGAGCACAGTGCTTCAGCCAGATGAGGATCTGGAGGGCAGTCTCAAAACCTCAGGCTAGCAGCGGCTGCTCTCAGGACCTCCTCCACTCGTGTGTTTCCACCATCCACGGACCTTTCACTTTACTGTATGAACACCAGCAGGCCGAGGCACATGTCGGGTGCAGCAGGGGGCTCGGTCACTTCTTCCACATCCGCAGGGGTTGGCCATGGTGGATGCGCACTCTCTGCTCCACGCTGTGCAGCCAAGAAAGCAGCTGAGACCTCGAAGGGTCATGTTGGGTCCTGGAAATGCATTTGCCACTGTCAATAGAAACTAGGCAGTCTAGATCAGGGCTCAGCAACCCTTTGAAGCAGCTGGCCGAGGAGACGCAAAGTGAATGTGGGGGTGGGCCAGACGGGAAACAGGTGTGTGTGTGTGTGCATCTGTGGGGTTTTGCTGACACACGCTTAAAAGTATCTCCAATTATGAAGAAAAGGCTATTTAAGCCTAAATGCTTTAGCACTGCGTTGATTTCTCAAGCTTAGCCTACAGAACACTTGAGCCCCTTCTCAATACACATTTTATATTTCAATATTGCTCGCCCAGGTGCAAGCATGCAAGTTTAATGTATACTGATTAAAAGTCACGCAGAGGTATAGAGCTCATTATCCGTCCTTGTCATTTGCAAAAGCATGTGTGACTATGTGTGCTACATCCTCGAAAACGTCCGTTTACACAGCGAGCGGCAGTGTACTCTTTATATTTGAAAACCCCAACATAGGAAGCCAATGTGAAAATTAACTGAACGAGTCCTCTTACTCATTATAAAAAAACACTGCAAACAAGAATTCACTTGAAGATGAGCAAGCCCCACTGTATAAATATCTTGAACTTGCCAGGAGTCCGTCTGATTTTATTTCTGAAAGATACAGATGTTGCTCGAATCCTCCTCCTTCAAATTACGCAATACTCCAAGTTTGAAGAGTTTCTGTTACCAGTGTCTTTGCAACAAGAAAATTGAGTGATTAGACTCATCACAATCCGTTTCAACATAACTTTGCTACACAGTTAAATCAATGGCCCAGCCAGCCAATGACTGTCAGAGCGAGGCACGCACTAGCATAGTGACCGAGGTTGCAATCATCTTGCGGAGGGCTGTCACATACCTTGCTCTGTTGCTCTTATTGACTCACAAGGGATGCAGCTCTTACCATTTTCAAAGTTATGCTGAAATGAAGTATACTGCACTGTCGGAATAGTTAAGATAAAGCTCTAAAGCTTTTCCATCTGCGAGATTCCCAGGTTCCAGTTCGAAGTGAAACATCAACCAGTAATATCAGACCGAGCCAAAATCGGAAAGCTATGATGGCTTTCCTTCTACAAAAAACACGAGCCAAAAAATGTTCTCTTCGGCCCAGCGATTGCACATGCACAATGTGCCAGGGGCTGACCCCTCATTTAGGGGGTTAGCCAGTGCGCTCAGTATTTAAGAGATAAGGGTTATCAAAAAAAGCAGCAATTGGAGGAGGGGGGGAAGGTGGTGCTATTGACAGCTCTAACGTCAAAGGAAGTGCCACAATGTGAAACCACTGTATAGAGGAACACAAAAAAACAAAAAGAAATAGCTTCTGTAAGCTACAGCCCATGCTCATTAGTCTAAAAGACCGGAAAAAAAGTCAAGACAGGCAAATAATCACCACCGGATCTTGGTAATCGGTTGGCTCGGTTGTACCTGCGGTGCATCCAGGTGACTGGCTGCATGATGGAGTCACTCCCATAATTCACCAGAAGAGTTCAAGTTTCATTGCATATGACAGCACTCGTGAAAGGCACCTCGAAACGTGAATATAAACCCACTAACATAATGATGAGGAGGATTGGCAATACATTGCATGCTATCTTACCTCCAGTTTCAGTGCTGGACTGGCTTTCTGATGTTCCTGTAGCCTCAGACCTGCATAAATGACAAAAAGGACCGTGTAGTTGCATACGAATGAGAAATATGAAAAGTGTACTTTCGCGAAACAGTGGCTTCCTGAGTGGCACAGTCAGGAAACGCAAGCTGCCAAAGTGGATCCACTTTGGCCTGTACACGTCCGAGGTTCCACAGCCGCCCCGCTCTGTTGCTGCGACATTGGCCGCCTCCTTGGCGTACTTGTCCCTCAGGTACTTCCACTTTGTCTTTCAGATGTCGTCTGGAGAGAAACATGTTGATTCTAGTGTGGGACAAGCCTGACAAACATAATATACTCATGCAGAATCGTAAAATAAAAAAGACAAAAATGCCTTTGGCAATTGTAATGCTTCGTGGGCAACGAACAGCACACACAAAACGCACGTCCAAAGCACTTGCACAACAAATTTAGTCCCCCACTTAAAAATGACTTGCCAAGCTCTCAAACAAACGACTATAGTTATGTTCACTGCTAGGCTGACAAGGCGGTAGAAGCTACATGCTCATAGGAACAATCAACAATAGGTCGCCATGCATACAGCGTGGTCACACTCTCCGGGTAGTCAAGGGGCATAGAGTGGATCAGGCACTGAGGGACATGCGACTGACTGATCTAAAGACGGAGTTCATGGCTTTCACTACCCACCAACTTAGCAGTGAATCAAGTACAGACATTTAATACCGATCTCACTAACATCTGCTATGTGTACGATGCTACGTATACATTGTGGGCCAATTGGAACAAATCTATAAAACAAGAATAGTAAAAATTTGTTTTGGGCGGTATGGTACTGTAATTTGTCATTTCGTTTCGAGAAGTATTTTTAAAATGCTTGGCTCAATCGAAGGTTATAAGTAAATACGATCGATTGTCTGAAGGACACAAATGGAGTTCAGCCTTTTCCATACAACCGAGAAAAAACTTTTTCGTGGGGTGAACAAAAAGGGGAATAAAGGCGACGCAGTGATCAACTTCCTTCCTTCTTATTCTTGGTTGAAACATCGTCGAAACAACGCAAAGACGTGAAAAAAGAACGAAAAAACATTTGGGTATTTACAAATATTACCGTCTTCGTGTGTCAATTTTTGAATGACTTTTATTTTCTCGCAATATTGTTACAATAAGAACCCAACACCACCACATATCAAGTAAACCATACGCGCCACACAAAATGCGAAAACACGATGTCAGGGGATGCAAAACCGCACTTACAGCGCACGATGTCGAACAGACGGGCAATCTCCTCCGAGACGTTCTCCCGTTTCGGGTTGTCTTTTTCGTCGCGCCGAAGCTTCCCGTACAGCCAAGGGTAGTACTGGACGAGCTCGAGCAACTGAAAGCACTTGCTTTGGTCATCAAAGACGGCAGTGTCTGCGGCCTTCTGTGCAGCTTCTTCTTGCCTCTGCGCGTCCGCAGCAGCTTTCTTTTCGGTCACCTTCCTCGCGTCGGAAACGGGGGGGGGGGGGGGAGCTCATAGATGCAGCATTACGGGCCATACCGCCATACTCGCAGGCAGCTGCGAAGATAATCTGTTTCGGCTGCGGCGGCTGCGCCGCTGCGCCAGGACAGTGAAGATACGCGGAGCATGCCCTCCACCGATCGGCCGGGAGACAGGAGCGCCCTACTACGTCACCGCGCGTTTTTGTGCGCGTTGAGATAGAAGTTGAAATCAACCAACTTTTTAGTGCGCGCCCGGAAGGAGCGAAGAGGCGGCGCGACGTCACGAAATACGTCACATCCAGGGCGCTCACGACCTACAGCCGCAAAAAGAAGCGTTGATTTGGATCGCGCTTAAGCGCTCTGGCGCTCCTTGTGCCGTGCTTGCTGCTGCGGAACAGCGCGTGCCCGGCGATTCCGTTGTTGTTGTTTTTCCTTTGGCATTGAAAGAAGAGGAAGTAAAAGAGCCGTTTTCCAAGCAAAGGGTCAGGCAGACGATCTGTAGCCATGGACTTTCAGCGAATAATTGATTGGATACTACCTCATCACTTTGTATACGACATGCGCGACCCTGGTTTCATAGACACGCCGTTCAGAAATAATCACCTTCGAGAGAGCTCTGTGTCTCTGTCCCTTAGCCAGGGAACAAGGTTCGCCAGGTAGCCGTCGGTGTCTCGGTTGTGAAAAATTTCGAGCACCCAGATGGCTCTTTTGGGTGTTATGCCGTCCACACCCATATGCACTAATTGCGTATTACGTGTGTAATTGCGCATTTGTCGCGTTTCCATTTCAGCGTCCCACATGTCTGCCAAGGTCCCGCTAATGCACACCCAACCACAGTAACCGTAGGCGCACTGCACGCGCTAATCCGCAGCACTAACTGCGGTACAAGAAGCGCTAACAAGGTGCTACAAAATAGCTAATCGCGCACTATATTAGAACTAAGTCACGCTCTAGGAAGCGCCACGCTGTATATGTGAACAGGCCTTTAGTGTAGAGAGAACGGTAGAGCTCCTGTGCCTCTCGCATTGCTCCCGCGCTTCCACCATTGTGATAGCCCAAGCAGGCATGTTGACCTCGCAACACCCACCAGTGTACCACTACAGTCGAGCTGCGGCTGTCCCGGTCACTTCCCGATGGGTGCGCGCGACGCCTCTGTGAGAGGCGCACGTATAGGCACTGTGTTAGACTTGCAGGGTGCCCGTACGGAATCCCACGTAAGGTCCCTATCAAGAAAAGCCCCCCATCGAGCTAAAAACAAAGTCTCGGCCAGGTCTTGTCTAAAGTACACTTCTTATCTAGGACCCCCCCCCCCCCCCCAACACAAACACACACACTCAGATAAGCATATCCAGGCCTAGAAGAGTACAGGGGATTGCAGCTATATTTACTTGCAGCCGGTATAAGAACTGCCAGTGCGACTAGTGACAAAAGAATGTTCTACTCCGCGTGATTTTGGAGCTAAGCCTGCACGGCGATCTCTTCAAAACGTGCATCGTCATGGCGGCCTCTGTGGGTTTGCCATCTCCGGCTACGCGAATCAGGCGCAAGCAAAAAGCGTTTGCTTCCCGCCGGTGACGTCACGTTTGGATGGCGTTGAAAGCAGGGAAAAAACCAGGAAGAACCAAGTCTTGGTTTCGCCAGCGAAAAAGGTTTACTTTTTTAATTAACAGAGAGCGAATAGAAGGGACGATATATGCTTTTGAAATCAGGAAGCTATCCGTGTTCAAATGGTGCGGAATGCAGCGCGTAGGACATGAAATACAGAAGATACGGAAGAGGATACACTTACAGGGCGAGAGCTGCGTGTGTTGCCCTCTCTTTATGTATGAGTAAATCCTCTCTAGCGTCTTCCCTACTGCAAAGATGCCTCTGAATTAGGTCACCTGAAATATCGCCGGCTCGTAGATTAATTTTTTGTATGTGTTTCATATTTTGGTGCAGGTAATGTCATGTTCTCAAACTTTTCAATTTTATCCTCACCACGTGCATCACATTCTGACAGAGCTTGGGCTTTTAGCAATTTGTAGCTTATGTATCCGGGTGGAAATAGAGGACTTTATTTTTTTATCAAACGCTGCAGATTAGCGCTGGTAATAGAGTTTTAGGAGATCCTTCCGTTGACTCCGATATCGACACCCGACACTCCGCCAACGCCTTTCCGCACGCATCGTATTGTTAGCGGGACACGTTATGGGGACTTATCGGAACCTAAAATCCACAAATGTTAGACCTAGGTTATTTCACATTGTTTGCTGGGAGCAATGTTGGCTTAGATTCACGGTTAAACACCGAGTCAGTGCCCACGCGAAGCTCCAAAAAGCTTTTGTAGTTGATCCTTGAAAGAACTTTCTTACAGAAAATTTATAGCCAATCCGAATTTCGTTATTGCCCTTTTGTTTTGGATCATAGTTTGAATGAACTTCAGGAACACTTGTAGAGAACCCGCGTTGGCGTCGACAAAACTTCCCGATTCCTTGGAGTATAAGGAGTCGTAGAAGACGTAGTCACAAATTCCATCCTTTGGGCCCACAGTTGTAGGCTTCATCCAGTCCCCGACAGTGCAGACTATGGGCATCTTGTCCGACGGCCAACCTGCAAAATAAGATTGAAAAAAAGTACCATTTACTTCCGAATACTTAGCACCCCCATTACTCCCAAATATTTCACTACTTTATTTTGCATTTTATCGAAAACGAAAAACCGTTATCTGCAGAAATTATTTTCTTTGTTTTTTTCTTTAAGGCGGAGCGGTTTATTTAAAGGGGCGATGGAACAATTTTTGTACTTTGCGAAAATACCGCTTAAAACGGATCCCTGACGTTAATGAACTATGAAACACGCGTTCGTTTTTCACCCCACGCAATAGAAGTTACAGAAACAAATTAAAGAAAAACGAGCACCGTTCACCCCTTCAACTGGGAGCCAGAACAAGCGGCCACGTGATCTGGAGCCGATTACAGGCCGCCAATGTTGATCATAGCCACGCGCTGGGGCTGGCGAAGCACAGGACACGCCCTGAGTTCCAGACATTGTTATGGCTCGGCTATTGTCCTCGTTACACCGATTGGACACGGGCCACTACCCGAATGCATGTCGAGGCATCGATTGTCACGAGCCCAGATCGAATGTGTACGCAATCTTCGCGTCCACTGTGTGGGCAGAATTTAAATATCGTCACCGCAAATACTCGATGACGCATTCACGGGAATCGTACTGTTGCCATTGTCTCCACAGCTCCGTCATCACATTTCGCGAAGAAGCAAAAGGCGGCTTTGGAAGGCAAGACTGAAGAAGAAAAAAGCTTTGCTTTCAACCTTTGAATTCCGCCGCGACGAAGACGCTTCGTGGTCAGTGGTGTTGCTTTCGAGTATTCTTGGGTCCCGCTAGTGCCAGGAAGCTGGTGTAAAGTAAGAAATATTCCTACCCATTGTCGTTGCACAGCCCCTTTAAAGAGAAGTATTGTGGAAGTGTTGTGGTTTCTAATATATCCTTCTTTTTGTTTTCTTTGATCTAAATATCTAAATTTGTGAACAATAATTTTAACAATGCGCCGTTCATATTAGGTGGCGCTATGCGGTTTGGATATTTTAGTGCGCCGCCACACAAAAGTATTTATATATTTTATTAAAGAGAAAATATAAAATAAGGACAGTAATCCTACATTATATGAATTGTGCGAGGATTACCTGTAGCAGTATATTTAATAAATTGGTTACTTAAATAGCTCCTAATGCAGAGGATATGCTTTCAACAATTTAGTGCTCAACACAGTGCGCGTGTACCTATGTCAGGGAACATTACAGAGGTAATCGGGGAGATGTAGTAATACCGATCCGCGTTTCAACATATTGTTTTAGGGGCTTAAGATGGCTACCCCACCGTAGCCATTTTAAGTTTGTACAAATGCGCAGGTACCTCTCTGTTCTATTTTAATATATTTTAAAATAATTCAAGCGCATGCATTCTCTCCCTTCCAAAAATAATCTATTGTCGTTTATGGAAACCCTATGGTGAGATATAGCCACCTACAGAACAATCTATGTCTGCAGAGCTTTAGAATCGCGACCATTCATATTTCTATAGCCGGCTATAAAATAATACGCGTCTAGGACGCTATAGAATCGCCACTATTCAATTTTCTATAGCTAGCTATAGAAAAACGCATGTCCTTAATGCTATAGATTTGCGAATATTGAATGTGCTTTCGCCGGCTATAGAGTGGTGTATGTTCTTAGATCTATAAACTCGCGACAATGGAACTTTGTTTAGCCGACTCAATGGAGTTTTTGTCACCAAAGCTTTGGGAATCGGTGGCCGAATGGGCTTGCGCACACCAGCTCGGAGCACGTGGAGCGAAAGCTTGCGCTGCAGAACCCAGGAATCCTGGGCTCAATCCCCACCCCTGACCGTTTCGATTTGGATGAGCATCGTACCGGCGTGCGGTCGTGTATCTCTACTGCGTGATGCACGTTAAAGACCCCAGACTAGGGGTTGTACTGCACTGGCTAAATTTCTCAACTATAGCCAGGAGACAAGTCGCACCTTGATGCAGAATAATTTCTAATCTGTGTAAACATAAAGACACCGAAGCTATAGGCCTCAGATCTTTCATGGTGCTTTAGCCAGCTATAAGAGGATGTCTGTCTTTCCATCAATAGGCTCGCGACCATTACATTTTCTTTAGCCGGCTCAAAGGTGTTTGATGTCGCTTAGGCTGTAGACCCGCGAGCTTCTTGTTAGGAACGCAGAGGCAGGAAAGTAGAACCCATTAATTTATGGGCTCGCTCGGTACGAGAATTTTTCTTGTCAGCTTAACGGTGAGTACCTCCGCCAATGCCCCACAATCACAAAAGCGTCCTTAGCTGCCTGTAGACCTATTCAGTTTTGACGGCTGCTCTCTGTTCCCTTGCCTTACATCGGTGTTGACGTCATCTCAATCTTCAGTTTTTCAGCTATTATTATTCCTTTCTACCTCCATCAGTGTATTTTTATTGCGTGTAAATATATATGTTTCG